CCCCAAAACCCCAAAACCCCAAAACCCCAAAACCCCAAAACCCCGGTTATAAAGGTGGTGGTTGAGGGATATAATTAAAATGGATTGCATAGAATTCAGCAGAAGTAGTATAGATTTTGAATACAATAGTTTGGATATGTAAAATGATGAAAGTTTAATTTTTAGTGATATTGAGAAGCAAATTGAACCCAGAGAGGATCAACTATTAAACTGCCATCTACAGGAACATAACCAAGAAAAAGTAATTTCTCATTCGCTCTTGGGAATAAGGAAGTAGCAGCTTAACCAATTTTCTTGTTAAAACACCCATATAAACATCTACTTCCAAATTTCCCCAAAAATCTTTAATCTACCCTACAATCCTTCTAAAGCTCCTGTTAACCCTCCCTCTAGTCTCCTAGCACACAAAAGAAGCGTATCAAAAAATGACTTTCTAAGGATGCCAGCACCTTCCGTGAATCACCTAAAACATCAATATTAGTTACCCCTTACTCTCTACCAAAATAAGAAGTATCCAAGGAACAGAGTGAAGAAGAAAGATCAATATCGTAACCAAGTGATTGAAGATCAGTATGGAATATTCGAATATGACAAGGACCCTGAAGGCTACCTTAAAGCAAGGAAGCGGATGCTCAACCGTAAAAGTAAGCACGTGCACAGTCGAAACAGGCTAATGTTTAGGTGCGGTCAAGGCAAGAGTCAGGAAGAACACTAAACTTGAGAGTCTTACTGGGAAGATACAAGTTCTGGAATTGAAGGTTAAGGATTTGGAAACGGAAAATTTTGGATTAAAGAATAAGAATTTGGAGTTAGAGAGGAGGATGAAGGAGCTTCTTGAGGAAACTGAGGCAATGAAGAAGGAAAAACAGGTGAGGAAGAGGTTCAAGAGTGGGGAAGATGGAGTAGGAGTGGGTTTGGTTTGTGGTAATAACTCCAGTACAAATAATCCTCTCACTTCTTCTCGTTGATTCTCTGATTCATCTCTGATGCAAGAGGAGCTTAGTGAGTTTCTGAGTTCTGAAGGAGACGAATTTGGTGAATTAAAAGTCAAGAGTTGGTTAAATCAGTCTGATGTTGTTGATAATGTGTTGGAGTCTTCTCAAGCTAAAAGAATTAAATCCTCAAAAGAAGATATGAAGGACGAATCCAGCCCAGCAATTTCAAAATTAAATTTTTAGAACTGAAGAGAGATTTGTACTTCATAGAGGGGATAATTTCATAGAGAAGAGCCATCTTGAAAGGAATCTTGAGAACTTCTTTTCACAAGCATCTCTCTTTACCTTGACAATAGTCATGTGTCTCGTGCTTTGATTTACCAGAGTTTCTGATTATATCGAAGTAAGAAATTTCAATGCAAAAATTCCTGAAGGAAGAATCGCAATGACTCAGGATGATTTTTGGATTGAGGCTAGCACAATTTCATTCACAAAGATTGCTCTCACAACAATCTTGATTCTTGGAATTGTGTTTTTAAAATGTAGCGAATGCTTGAAAGGGCTCAGCTATCGCCCTCAGAGTGAGAAAATTACCAGAAATGTGCAAAGTTCTTAGGATCCCTCAAGACTTAATTTTGAAATGGGCCAAAATTCTTCAATTTTCTAGAACAGAAGGGGTTTTGGGGTTTTGGGGTTTTGGGGTTTTGGGGTTTTGGGG